AGCCCAGGTGCGCCTACATTTAAAATGTGGAGCCAAAATAAATATATTAACTAGACGTACAATTAACTTCCGCTGCCGAACAAATATCTCGTCAGCATTATTCCATAGTATCAAACATGTCGAGAAATATCATTTAAGAGTAAGGTGTATATTATTTATTCATTCGTGATTCTAGCATAATTGACGGCTATATTCAATTACTTGAGGGAAAACATTGCTAATGATAGGAAAAGGAAGTACAGCCGAAAAATGGAGTTTAATTTGCTTCCTAAAGATAAGCTTATAATAGTTCCTAAGAGTATATAACATTATTTGTGATGCTCACCAATGAATTACCACACTGGAATGAGCAAAACAATAAACAGATAAAATGTACGGGTTATGAAAAAGCTTGTGGGCCTACTTGGGTAAGCTCCGGGGAGAAGTTTACAGAAGTGGGATATGAAGCAAATGAACTGGCTGTGGTTGGCTCGGAGAGGTGGAGTCTATCTATATGAAGGCTATATGGTTTTTCAGTGGCCTCAGGTGGTAAACTGGGTAGAGTAGATTTGTTGTCTGGCTCCATGGCTTTTGGCGGAGTGTCTTGAAGAGAGAGGTCGACATTGGAATTGCTGGCTTCCAGATAAAGCCGCTGAAGGTTTATGAGGTAGAAAATGAAGGTAAAAAGAAAAAGTACGAATTAGAGGTGTTGATGCAAGCGGGAATGATGGTACCAACTACAAATAAATGAATACAAAAGTTGAATTCACCAGTGAGTTTTACAATGTGTGGAAATAAGTTTCGATCAAGTCGAGGTCTCATTGGCACTAACCAAGAGATTAGAACTATAGACGAGCAAGTTTATGGATTATTTGCTACACACTATGACAGACATACCAAAAACTGTCGATCTTTAGCATAAATAAGGCCTATTACATTTATAGTGAGGGATTTCGTATCGGTAGACAACAATGAGTCGACGATTAAACTTGATAAGTTAGTAAATTGCTGCTAGTGGAAACAACTCTTGAGGTTAGGATAACTGAAAATATATATCTAAGAGGCATTTTCTCACAGCACAGTAGAGTTCACACAGAATTCCTCATAAATGACCCTAATAAAATACGTAATAGCTTTTAAAAAAATTTACTTGTGGTCTGTAGTTCATATATATGCTAAGACGTAAATAAAATA